TAAAGTTAAAATAAAAATAAATATATTAAGTAGCATCTTAAAATAAATAATAAATAATTAAATTTAAATAAGTCAAATTAAAAAACTAAAACAATTAAACTTGAATAGGAAAGAACTAATTAGTCAATGATAGAATTGTTAAAAAAATTTAATTGTTGGGGTCTTATCAATGAGCGATTTAGATTTAATAGATAGATTAATTTTACTAGTTCAAGACTTTTAAACATTTGTGTGAAGTTCAATTATTGTGATTATTTTTGTGAGTTTAAAATATGTTATGAAAAAGATTAGTATAGGTTTAAACTCAAGAAGCTCTTAACAAGAAGGTATTACAACTCAATTTTAACATGTAAAACATTAAAGTTTTCCTACAGATATTCCTAATTTCAAGCAATTTTAATTCTTTGAAAATTTTTATAATAAAAAAAGCGCCCTCAAATTTTGTTGAGTTGCTTAAATCCCAAATCATGTTATTAATTTAAGTTTTTTTATTATATGCCATTAAAGCATATATTAAGATTCTATTAATTATATATTTTTTTATTAATTGTTATAAAAAAATAAAAATTAACTTTAATGTTATTATTTATCTAATAAAATTATATATGTGTCATCAATGTTGAAAATAAAATTAACCTTTATATTTTAGCATTATATAAATTAATAATAAAAAAATGTAATTAATGCATTACTAACTTAATACAGGTTAGAAAAACCATAATACTTTTGCTTGATCAATAATCACATTTAATTCGCACGATTAGGCCCATTAATTTTATAGATATAATCAAGCAATCATATGACAATTATTGCACAATTGATAATTGCTACTCTCTTATCCATTCACAATTACTGAAAAATTCAATTTGTTTATTATAATAATTAAAATTTATCTTTTTATTTTTACCCTTATTTATAATTCAATAAAAAAATTTTAATATATTTTTATCTCTTTTGAGATAATTGTAAATTTGAAATATTAGCATTTAATGTATTATTAAAATAAAAAGAGGGACAACTAAATTAGACCACTTTAAAAGGTGAGACAATTAAATTTGATGAGAGAGTAATATGCACCATCAAGATATTAAATAAGTAGTGGCACATAAAACTAAAATTTGGGACAAATAATGTGGTATAAACCATGATTTTAAATAAGTTAATACATATATGATATTATGAGTTCTAACTAATTAAAAAATTAATTATTAAATAATATAAAATTTACCTTTTAATATTTTAAATAACATAGTTTATACCATATTATTTGTAATCCAAAAAATTTGGCTGCCTTTATGGTTACTCAATTAAGTAGTACCAATATACTGTTGACTCAATGTACTCCAAGAGGAGGGGTGAATTGAAGTTCCAAAAATTTTCCGCTTTTGCAACCACAACACCAAAATTAAAGAGAGTAGAGAAGAAGAGCTCACTCAATGATTTGATAGAGGTTCGGTCCAACCACTTGGAACCTAATCTTCTACTTTGGCTTCACTCACCAAGGATTTCCTCCACATTCTCCACTAATAAAACAAGGGTGGTTTAAAGGAGCAATTCAATCCTTTTACAATAAGATGAGTATTTCTCTCAAACCTCACCCCTTTACATATAAACCCCAAGAATCCTCTCTATAAATCACTCTTGAAGGATTAATCACACCCCAAAGATCACTCACAAATAGAACAAGAAGAGGATTACAAGTAAAGATTTCTCAAAGATAAAAAACTCAAGTTAAAGCTCATGTAGGTAGGTAAAGATATTCAATGCAATGCTCTCTAAACTTGATCCAAATCTTCTACCAACCATATTTATAGCCCCTTGCTTGAAAATAGTCGTTTCTAGCCATTGGGGGTCATTAAATGCTCTGCAGGACGCAAAGCTCGAGTTGCAGGATTGTCAGGACAGCCAGCTTAACTTCCTAGAGCCGGTTCTGTACAACCAGTTCTCATTTCTGCAGCCAGCTTTACGAGATTTTGCATATTTTGTTTTCTCTGTAGAGCCAACTGCAAAACGCAAAGCCAGCTTTACGGGTTTCCTACACATTCTGTTTTTCTTGAATAGCCGGTTGTAAAAACGTAAAGCCGGCTTTGGTATTCTGACTTTAAAAATATTAACTATTCTTCAAATAAGTCGACCGTTGAGCATTAAATGCGCCCTTACAGCCGATTGCAAAGTTAGAGCCAGCTTTGCGTCTTTTCTCCGTGCGTGCCAAACAATGGACCTTTAAATCTTTACCCCTTGAGCTGGCTGCAGCTTCCAGAGCCGACTCTTTGCACTTCCACAACCAGCTGCAATCTCTTTAAGCCGACTTTCTGCACTTCCACTTCATAGAGTCGGCTGCAGATTTCAAGAGCCAACTCTCTGCACATTTTCAATCCTTTTGGTCTATTTTTCGTGCAGCTCAAGTTTACTTACAATCTTTTAGCAATTTAACTACAGACTTAAATAAATCAATTAGTCACTCAAATAGTTTTGTAATCATCAAAATCATAGGTACAACATATACTGTATATTTAGTAGCAATGGCTAGTAACAAAAGGCTGCTAATTTTCATAAGAAATTTGCATCCTCACGGTTTATAGCTCAGCGAAGCTTATATGGTGATCAAATACCAAGTGTATTTAACTAGAAAGTATCATTATGGAGCCATAAGGTATAATTTCAAGTTTCAAACATTTTAAGCATGCAATTGGTACTAGGTACATATTACATTTCTAGCAATAAAAGATAAAAGCAAAAGGAGAAATAAAAGATATGATGATTAATTAAAGTAATAGAAGATAAAGAGGGGTTTTTTGTGTTATGATAATTAATTAAAGTACATAATAATAATAATAATGTTTAAGTATGAAAAAGTAATATTTTAAAATTGTTGATGTATCATTTTATAACAATCATTTTATAAGTTCTTTTGACTTGTACTTATAAGAACACTTTTTAAATATTACTTGTTATTCAAAAATAAAAATTAATATTTATTTAATTAATTATTTAATTAAAATAACTTATATAATATAAATGATGAAATTAATATTAATTTTTATTGTTTTTAATATCAATTAATATTAAAAAAATATATTAATTATATCATTAACATGTACTCTAAAAATTTCATGTTAAAAAAATTTTTAATCCGAAGGTTGGTAAGACCCAATTAAAAACTCAGACACATGAATCCACATCAAAGGTTCCATCATTGCTTAGTACATTTTTAAATGGTTAAATACCCTTTTTGGTTCTTCTATTATAGGAAAAAGTCCATTTTTGGTTCCTGTACCGAAAAAATCCCATTTTTAGTCCTTACTGTTCACAAATCCGTCCCCTTTTTGGTCCTTCCGTTAATTTTTGCTCACATTACACGTTAACTTAACTGAAACAGCTGATGTGGACATGCCAACATGTAAAAGATGCTTATGTGGACTTAATGATACCCTCCACGTCACCATCCACGTGCGGGAAAAAAAAAAAAAGGTTAAATGTTAAATTTGATCCCTCAACTTTATAGGTTTGCATTTTTTTTATCCTTAAATTATTTTTTTCACTTTTTTTTATCTTTTAACTCTAAAATTACATAATTTTGATTCTTCCATCAATTAAACATGATGTAACAATTAAATAATTACATTTGACATTTTCTTTTAATTTTTTTGATGACATGACAATTATATATATTATAATTATGTTATATAGATAAATAAAAATACCACATAGATAAACATTTATATTTTAATTAAAAAATAAAATTACATTATTACCCTCACCTCCCAATCCCTCTTCTTCCCCTTCTTTCTTTCTCTTTGTTTCTTTCCTACCTAGATCGAACTCTGCTTTTTATGCTGCATCTCACTTCAAAGCTTCTGCGCAGAAATTCCTCGAAACCCTCCGAAATCTCCCAGTTGCCATTGATTACCTTCCTTTTCCGTAACTCTTTCGCAAAACACGAACATGAAATCTGCTCCGATCCGATCCGATCCCGTCCGTCTCGATCAGTTCATCTGATCCAATGTTTCTCGCTTGCTGAAATCCGATCTCCTTGCTATTCTCGCTTGCTGGTCCTGGTCGCACGAGCCCATCCTTGTTGGTCTTGGTTGCGCGAATCTGGCCCTACTAGTCGTGTGAAACCAGCCCTGCTAGTCGTGCGAACCCAGCCCTACTAGTCGTGCGAACCTAGCCTTGCTGGGTTCGTCGAAACCCAGCTGCTAGGTTCGCGCGACCAGCAAGGCTAGGTTTGACCAACCCAAGCTCGACGAAACTAGCAAGGTTGGGTTTCGACCAACCCAGCCATGTTGGTCGCGCGAACCCAGCCTTGCTGGGTTTTGACGCTGGGTTCATGTTTTTTCATTTTTCTTTCTATTTTCATTTTCGGTTCTTGATAAATTTGAGAGTTGATTTACAATTTGATTGCATTTTTCTTAGAATTGGATTAGAGTTTGATTGCATTTTTGTTGGAATTGGATTAGAGTTTGAATGATATTGTTTATTGAAGGGTTAATTTGATTTGATGAGATCTACTGGCTTGATGAACTCAGTGACTTTAATGAAACCAGTAACTGAGTTTTGACAAACGCAGCAAGGTTGGGTTCGAGCAACCAGTAAGGCTAGGTTTCGACGAACCCAACCGATCTGGGTAGGAAAGAAAGAAAGAGAAAGAAGGGGACGAAGAGGGGTTGAGAGTTGAGGGTAATAATGTAATTTTATGTTTAAATTAAAATATAAATATTTATCTACGTAATATTTTTATTTATCTATATAACATAATTATAATATATATAATTGTCATGTCATCAAAAAAATTAAAAGAAAATGTCAAATGTCAAATGGAATTATTTAATTGCCACGTCATGTTTAACCGATAAAAGAATTAAAATTGTGTAATTTTTAGAGTTAGAAGATCAAAAAAGTGAAAAAAATAATCTAAGGATCAAAAAAAATGCAAACTTATAAAGTTGAGGGATCAAATTTAGCATTTAACCTTTTCTTTTTCTTTTTCCCGCGCATGGAGGGTGACATGGAGGGTATCATTAAGTCCACATAAGCATCTTTTACATGTTGGCATATCCACATCAGCTGTTCTCGTTAAGTTAACGTGTCACGTAAGCAAAAATTAACGGAAGGACCAAAAAAGGGTTGAATTTGTGAACAGTAAAGACAAAAAAATAGATTTTTTTGATACAGAGACAAAAAAAAAAAATTTTTCCTATAGTAAAGGGACCAAAAAAAGGTATATAACCTTTTTAAATTCTTCTTTTACGACTTA